CCAAGGGTCAATATTAAGGTGAGTTATTTTATACCTTTAGTTACTATAATATATTTTACGTATGTTTTGACTTACCATAATTTATTTTATACAAGTTATATTTTATTATATTAATACAAGTTATGTTTTATAAAATATTTCAATTATATGGATTAATTTCTGAATTCTATTTGTTTAAAATGAAACCCATGGATATATTTGGTTAAATTTTAAAGAATATTTAACTATGACCTTATAAATAATTATATTTTGTAAGTACCACCACCGGAGTCACATGCCTTGGGGGACTTAAATAACCATTGGCCTCTGTTTGGCCACTTTGTAGTCCTCTGTTTGTCATGGATCTATTGACCTCTGTTCTGATTGTCACTTTTGTGACCTCTGTTCTATTTTGTACCATGGTTATGATTATTTATTTACATAATTTCTGTATTTCAGTTTCTGCCATTTAAATGATTTATTTACCAAATTAAATTATGTAAATATTTTGGCCTAACTAATTATCCATGGTTATTTTGTATTTCCTATACTCTTGGCATAATATTTCTCATTCTGCTGTGTGCTTATAGCTGTTACCCTTTCAGGTGACGAGATGTAGAGGAAACCCATAACTTCACGTAATGGAACCCGCACGAGGATTGGTGTTGAGCCACTATTTTGTCTTTCTCTCTTTTTTTTTAAATTTTTTTTAGTATATATTTCTACTCCCTTTTGTTTCTACTCGGGGTCGGTCATTGAATAATAAAATAATAAAAGCCCTATAGATGTATTTTTTCTTATTAAAATAGTAAAATAGAGTAATTTCCTGTTTAATTATTTTTATTTCTGCTTGTGCAGTTTAATTTGCTACGAATAGAATAAGTTAGTAAGTTGCGATTACAATCCTAAGCCCCTGGGGCTGGGTCGTGACAGTAGGGGTGGTCTTGAATTTGTTTACATACTTAGATGCCAAAAAAGCACTAGTTACTTGTCTGTTCTTGAAATTTCTATTGCAAGTGTGTGTATGTTTGTATGTCTTAATTTGTAATGTGTTCTCTCCACTCATCTTAGAGGCATAAAGCCTCCACTCACACCTATCACTACAGTTGACTTGAACCTTTCGTGTCTTACTTTTAGTGAATTTGATATCATAACCCCCTTTCACTGCATATTCCCTCACAACATCCTTAAATTCAATGGCATTATTAAATAACATTCCAATTTTAAATTCAAAATTAGCCTTATCAACCTCAGGCTTAAATTCAGGGTACTTTGGCTTCCCATTACCCTTCTCATCAGATCCTTCAGGGGTTAATAATTCCTCCTCAGATGAATCCTCATCATTCACAACATATTCCTCAAATGCATTGCCTTCTTCTCCATTTGGTTCCTTCTCTACATTACCATCAGACATGATATCATCATCAGTAGGGTCATCCTCACCCTCAGTACTAGCTAAGAAATCACAATTTGATGAGTCATCATTTTCTCCATCTTCACTGTTTGCTTCATCTTCATAGTCATGAGACTGAAGATGTTGAGCATTTTCATCATCATTTACAGGGACATCAGTAAGGAACAAAATAGGGTGAGTGGTGTCTACATTGTACGACACATGATGCTCAACAAATAATTCTAATGTGTTTGCAGAGCCTAGATATTGAAACATTTGTAAAACATCTTGGTCAGTACCTAATCTTCTTAACCCTCTAACCAGATCTTCTATAGGATCCTATAAAAAAACTGTTTGAAATCACATATCCCTAACTTTTTCACCATATATATCAGCTCAGACACAGAAAATGTATCAACATCAACAGTATCAAACACATGTACTTTACCCCCAAAGTAACTCCTAGGCCCACCATCACTATCTACAAAATACCCACTATGACGTAAAACTAATTTCATATTTATATCATCCATTGTTGCATTCACAAATAAACAAATATATCACCCAAAAAAAAAAATGCATAAAAAATCAGTGGACTGAACAAGTGGCATGGGACCAAAAATGGAGATAAAAAATTTGATAAATCAATAGTCCATCACTCAGTCAATGCAATGGTCCAACCACTCAGTTAATGCAGTGGTCTATCAATGGAGATAAGAAATTTCATAAAGCATCTAAGACATTAAAGTAACAAACCTACACACATACCCATGCAATAAAGTAAGATACAAACAAAGTTTGCCATTACTTTATTCACAGAATCAGAAAAAGAAAAAAACAAAACTTCATATACAAATTACAAGAAGAAAGAAACAAAACAAATCATATAAATCACTTACCAACACTCCAAATAATAGTAACCAGCAGTACTTCAAACTCTGCTCCAAATTTTCTTCCAAATCGCAACAACCCCTGTGCCCTAAATCGACAAAATCGAAGAAAGTAGGGCAAATTGTAGCCCTAATTCGTGAAATTTAGGATTTGGGGGCTTTTATATGGGTCCAATAAGGAACGACGTCGTTTTGGGTTGGTTTAGGCGCAAAAAATGACTTTCTGCGTTACTTCATGAAACAGAGATGGACGGGGGCTTACATTGTGACACGGAATGAATTACGGGGTTGACATTGTCAAAATTAAAAACCTAAGATTTAAATTGCAAAGCACGCTAAACCTTGGGACTTTATTTGTAATTTGCCCATCAGTTAATTTACGACCCTACATTGAGTTTTTGTACCTTTTGATTTTTCTCCCAAACATGGCGATCGAATAATCTAAAAAAATAAAAATTAATCAATATATTTTTCAAACTCATTTACTTTTAAACCAACGTGTTATTTTGCACACATAAATATATTTAATTTAAGTAGATTTAAAGATTGGTCCTATTATGTAGACTTATTTATTTATAATTTTTTTTTCTTCACTTATCAATATCTCAAAAAAATATTAGAACAAAATAAACATTTTAATAGTGTATTAAAAAAGTGTACGAGACTTATAAGTGGGGAAATTCTGTTTCTACATACTAAATTATCTCTGTGTACATCTTTTCTCAATCTACACACTTAGTAATTTGATTTTTACTTCTTTATCTCAATCTACAAACTTCACATTCCAAATATATCCTCACATTCTCTGTGCACATCCTCTCCTTCTATGCTTGCTCGGGAAGATTATGGTATTGGATAGTTGGGGTTTCACTTGTTGAGGCGTCCATGGGCACTGCTCAATTGTGCAGTGCCCAGAATAGGCAAAGGAAAAGATTTATACTGCTGGAATTGAAGTGTAAAAATTACTATACATTCAGTCAAACAGTGGACAGTACATACAGATTGTAAAATTCAATCTTCTAATTTTCTAATTAATAAGAATTTCAAGTATCTACCTTAAATTATGTACTGGTCAGAAAAATTTAGGTATCACACTTACACACAAAACACATTATCACAAACACACCTTTTATCGGACCCAACAATTCAGATTTCATAAATCTAAACAAAACCAATCAGATACAAACCCAGAACAAAGATTACACTTTACAAAACAATTCTTCACAAAAATCAACCCAAAAAAATTCTGATCATTCAATGGGACAAAGATCAAGTTATCATCAGAAATGGAAGGTTAGGGACTGAAAGGAGCAGGACACAAAACACATTATCACAAACACACCTTTTATCGGACCCAACAATTCAGATTTCATAAATCTAAACAAAACCAATCAGATACAAACCCAGAACAAAGATTACACTTTACAAAACAATTCTTCACAAAAATCAACCCAAAAAAATTCTGATCATTCATTGGGACAAAGATCAAGTTATCATCAGAAATGGAAAGTTAGGGACTAAAAGGAGCGGGAAAAGTGAAAGGACTTGAGGTTTGGGCATAGGAGGCGATGGCCGATGGTGATGTGGCTGGTGAGATGGTGGTGGGTAAGATGTGTATAGAGAAATTGTGAGATGTGTGGGTGAGATGGTGGTAGATGAGATGGTAATTTTGTTAAAGGATAAAATTATGATTCTAAAAAAATTCATTAAGTGTGTGAAGTAAAAAAACTTGGTGTGTGAAAATAGAATTTCCCTCATAACTGTTTAAATCCACCACATAGCACTGTTACCTAATTTACCCTTAAATGTAATCTTTTTTAATTTACTTATTATAAAAAAATTAAAAATATTTTAAAAATACAACCTTACAAAATAATTAAGTTTAAAAAATATAAATTCCAAGCAATTTAGGCTTCGTTTGGGAAGTGGGTTGGTTTTTTGACTATTTTAACCTAAGCTAAAAATCTTGGTTTGGAAAGGGTTTTTTGGCTTTTTAACTTTTTTTGTGAGAGAATAGTATAATAATTATCGGTTGAATGTGATGTTTTGTTTGTTATGACTAAAATAACCTATTTTATTTTTTGTAACTAAAATAGCCAAAGAAACTCATAAACCAACTTGTCAAATGGAGACTTACTAAAAAATACTCCCTCCGTCCCATAATATTAGTCCCTTATTCCATTTTTCATTGTCCCAAAATATTAGTCCCTCTTCAAACATCAAGTACAAAAATAATATAAATTTTCCATTTTGCCCTTCTTTTAAATTCATAAATAATATAAAAAGTACAATTATGGTATTGATATTCTCAAAAAAGTGTACTATCAAAGGGTAATTTTGGAAAATCAACTTTTTAAAAGTACAATAATTGTACTACCAAAAAAAGTTGGATTCCCCAAAAGGGACCATTATTTTGGGACGGAGGGAGTATATGAATTCCCCAGACGCCAAAAAAATGTAGTGGGACCCAAATTTGTCTCCACAGTGGGCCCGTTCTCCCCACCTTCGTCAAATAATCGGGCAAAATGGCTTTAGTGGTCGACGCACTGCTGTTTACGCGCAAAGTTTTATATGCAATTCAAACGATTCCATCATTTTCCTTTTTCTTTACACCTTTTTTTTTAAAAAAATATTATTATTTAAATTTAATTAATTCGCAGTAAATCGTTAATATTGAAAGGCAACAAGGGCATAAAGGTCATTCCAAAAAGAAAGAGAATTTGACAATTTGACATAGGCCTTTCTCCTTCTGTTTTGGGCAGAGCCGCGAAATCGCGTGAAAAAAAGGAAGCTTTCCCTCAATGTCTCTCCCTTTCTCTGTCTCTCTCTGTTACGTGTTTGATCGATCAGAATAACAAAACCCAAAATTTCCATTTCTCGAGCTTCCAAGGTTGAAGAAGACCGTTGGGTTTGGTTCCAAATCGTCAAGCACTTAATTGCACGTCTTCAAACTTCGAAATCACAAAGCAATTACACCCCAACGAACTGTTGCAGAGGTACGTAATAATACTTCATGACAACACCATTTAATTTCCCATACATACGCGTCTGTAGTACTACCCTAGTATCTTCCATGGACATTTAATGAAAAACACGATCTCCTCAACTACATCAACTACACCCTTTAATTTCTCCGTTAATGTCTGCTCAGTAAAATCTGGGTTGTTGAGTGTTTGACTTCACTTTTTTTTTCTCTTCAAATTTTGCAGAAAAGGTTGTCTCATGATTGCTTTCTTCCATTCCAATCCAGTTCAAGATGCTTCATCACCAAGCAAATATCACATTTCTGGTTTTAATTTTAATTTTTTTTGCCTCTTCAATCAAAGCCCATAATAATAACTCAGCTCAATGCACTCGAACCTGTGGAACAAGAGGGAATCGGAATCGCGTCCCCTACCCATTCGGGTTCTCCGATGGGTGCGAAATCCGATTGGATTGCAGTGCAGACGGCGAAATCAGAATCGGGAAATTTAAAGTTCTGAACGTCACCGGAGATAGTATACAGATCAATTTTCCGGCGGAATGTAACAGAACGATTAACGAAACAGAGCAACTCTTCGGCACCAACTATGCCCTAACTTGGCAGAACGGGCTCATGTTGCGGAGCTGTAAATCTCCGATTGACGGTTGCTTGATTCCAGCGAGCATGTTGGAGGCGAGATTGAAGTTGCGGAGATGTGGGTCGGGGATAAAAAACTTCAGTTGTTACTCTGAAGTGGATCGAGGGTCGGAGTTGATGAGTTTCAAGAATTTGAGTAATAAGACGAATTGTGAGTTCTTGTTCACTTCGATTGCTGTGGAGTTGAGGAACAATTCGGGTGTGGATTCGGCGGTTTCGCTTCAGTTTCAGGTGGCGGAGCTGGGGTGGTGGTTGGAGGGGAAGTGCAAGTGTTCGGCGGATGCGGATTGTATGGTGGTGAATCCGCCGGAGAGAGCAGCAGGGTTCCGGTGCCAGTGTAAGGAAGGTTTTGAGGGAGATGGGTTCGCCAACGGTGGTGGTTGCCGGAGAGGTTAGTACATTTCGCCCTAATTTACTTTTGTTGTTAATTATGGTTAATTATTAGAGCAAGACCCACGACTGTTATCTTTTGACCAACAAAAAGGCATCGAATAATGTTATATACGCCTGTTTGGATGAATTTTGAAAAAGTGATTATAAATTATAATTTAATAGATTATAATTTATAGTTGTGAATATAAATTATTAATCTGTTTAATGTAATTGTAGAATTATAGATTTAAGTAGTAAAATAGTATTTGGTTGATGAACTGTAAAATAACTTTTTGTTGTGTAATTATCTTTTTTGTCCTTACATGATATAAAAATGATTATTTTGTTATTTGTTTCGGCCTTAATTTTGAAAGAATTATTTCATTAATAAAAGTTAATATAGTTAGTGTTACAAAAATTATTATTTTTATTTTTTCATTATAAATTAATTAGTATAAAATTATTTCATTTTTCCATTATAAATTAATTAGTATCAATCAATGGCTTATTTTCATTTTTTCATTATAATTTATTATTTTCACTTTTTTATTATAAATCAATTAGTATAAAATTATTTCATTATTAATTAATTAGTGTCAATTAATGGTTTATTTTCATTTGTTCATTATAAATTATTATTTTAATTTTTTTATTATAAATCAATTAGTATAAAATTAATGACTTTTTGTAATCAATTAATACTAAAATTATTAATTAGTATTAATTAATATAAAATTTATTTTAGTAATGGCTAAAATGGTTAATTATTATTATTATTTTTTTATTTAAAAAATACTGAAAACCTCTAGAAAAAAAAGAAATGAAAACCCTAACTCCAGCAGTCACAACAACGATGTGGCGGCGCTAGGGTTTTGCCACACCGACAGCCCCTTCTTCTTCTCCTCTTCCTCCTCTTCTTTCTCCTTCTCATCTCACTGTTAGCAGCCCCTTGCAAAACCCTAGCCGCAATCGCGAAGAGAGAGAATTGGGGTTTTGTCACGCCATCGATTGCAAAAGGAGAGAAAGAGTTAGGGTTTGTCACGCTGTCGATCGTGAAGAGAGAGAGAGAGAGCTAGGGTTTTGTCACGCGATCATCATCGTCAGGCTATCTCGCAACGCCGGAGATCACAAAGAGAAAGACAGAGAGAGAAAAAGCTAGGGCTTCACTGCCTCTGGTTCGTGCCAGAGAGAGAGAGAGAAGAAAGAGAGCTCTGATTCACTGGTTCGTACGAGAGAGAGAAGAGAAGAGAAGAGAAGAGAAAGAACTTTGTTTCGCCGGAAATCACTTCTCTTTCGTCGGAAATCGCCTCTCAGAGACGTGGGAGAGACAGAAATGAGTTGTGTTTGGTTTATATACATGACACACCTATAATAACTTAAAATTGTGAGGGGCATTTAAGTCATTTTACCTCTCAAATGGCAACTGCGCGCTTAAGCTGTTTGGAAAAGCTTCTTCTCTCTCACTCAAAGAAAAAACTGATTTTTGGCTTAGAAAAAGCTATAATCTGTATTATTAAGTTGAACCAAACACACCAAAATAGCTTAAATTAAGCTAAAAGTTGAAATAAGTTGAAAATAAGCCCCACTACTACCAAACATGGCCATATATATATATATATATATTAATTGATATATTAATTATTATATAAATAGATAATGTGATATAAGTTTAAATTTTTTGAGTATTTATAATTTATATAATAGGTAGAATTAGTAATAATATCATAACATATGTTGGTACATTGATTCACTAATTGGTGCATGTAGTACCACTGAAATATATCACTTGAGGATTGTTTGTGAATAGATTATTTTAATAATTTTTTTTTATAAAAAAATATGTAATATAATAAAGATGTGATGTGACCTAAATAATAGGTAATATAACTCAAATAAGATAAAAAAACAAATGATTATTTTGAAAGTATCATATTAACTTCTTTTTTTTTTCATATATTCTTATCTTTTTTTTGAATCATATTACTTCATTACTTTTAGTAACTTCCCAAACAAATTATCCCTCACACTTATAGTTTAGTGTGAATTTTAGATTTCATTTGTTAATTATACATTTTAGTTAAAAAATCATTATAAGTTGTCACATCATTCTCTCTATTTTTTTAAAAAAATTAAAAATTTATTAAAATAATTTATTTTCAAACGAGAATAGAGAGAGCCAGCATCTACGAGTTGATGGACAAAGGTTCTAACATGATGTTTGCTAATAGTTATGGTGTCTTGGTGTAATTAGGCTTATATTAGTAAGTTGATTAAAAGTTAATTTTTTAATTTTTTGACTTTTTTGAGTCACATCATTTCTCTACTTTTTATATATTTTTTTAAAAAAAGCCAAAAAAAATTTAAAAAATCAGTTTTTAAATAACTTTTCAAAACAATCCTAAATCCCTGTTTCGAGAGTTAGGTTTATAGTAAAAAAAAAAAAAAAAAAAAAAAAAAAAAAAAAGAAGGGTCATTAAGTTGCCAGATGGGTCTATTTTTTGCATGTCATAACCAATAAGTGATTAAGTTGCCAGATGGGTCTATTTTGTGCATGTCATAACCAATTTCCAAACAAAGTTTAAGGCATTTGACGATAGGTTAAATTTTAGTCACACAAACAAATAAAATAAAATAAAATAAAAAGTCAAAAAAATTATACAAAAAATTCAAAGATTCCTGCCAATACTTTTACATCTTTTTTAAAAAACAAAAAAATTAAAAATTTATTTTCAACCACTAAATTTTTTTCCTTCATATTTTAATTAAAAAAATTAAAAAAACACTAAACAAAACTTCTCAAAATGAGCCCTAACTTTATTATTTATTCTACTTTATATTGAATTTTTTTTCTTAATTATTTTTGGTGGACGGCCTAATTGCCTTTGACTATGGGAAAAACTGCTTAGTGGGCACGTAACGGCTGTCTGGTCATTTCTGTCTGTTGACCAATTTTGGTGGAGCGTACTCATTGTGCTCTGTTATCTCAGCATTGTATGCTTCTAATTATACCTAAAAATATCTTTTCTCCACACCCGTCATTGTAAGGAGGTCACAATGATTAATTCTCTCGTAAGAGTGGGTTAGTGTTGAGAGAAATTTTTATGTTGCCAATGATGTCTTTAACTTTGCTAAGGGCTTTGAAAGACCATAATGCCCTCATCTCAACCTTGGATTGGGTACAGTTTTTTTTGTTTTTTGTTTTTGGTACACAGTAGTATTTTAGGTGCTTGTTTGGCGTGTGTTAAAAAAAAATATATTTTTTGCATATATATATTTATTTGGGTCATATCAATTAACATATTATTTTTACTTTTCTACCCATTATCTCTATTTTTTTATACATTTTTTTATAAAAAGTAAAAAAATATACTTATTTAGAACATTCCAAACCAGTTAGTAGAGTTAAATTATTATAACAAGTTAATGCTATTCCATTAACTTGAACTTGAGAACCAAAATGCCTCTCTCTCGTGATCAATTGGCTATAGTTGGGGTCATTTGGATATAGGGTTTATAGCTTCATGAATTTGAATATTGGTAGGTGTTTACTTATCACTTTGATTACTACAAATATATAAATAAATAAGAAAAGAAAAAAAGGAATCTAAACTTGAATTTGAATTTATTTTGGTAGTACGGGTGTCTCAAGATTTTGTTATGGACTTAACATATAAAAGAAATTATTTATTTGATGGTAGAAAAAATTAGGGAGACCATTAAGGTTTAGGAAGTTTACCCAACAAAGTAATGCTACTTTTAAAGGATATTATCAGTAAATTTCAAGATTCCATTAAAGATGAATTATATACCTATTTTCCCTTCTTATTAATTAAATTTATATATTCGTGTAATTTACATCCAATTTTTTAGTTGAACCAATTTGATTTAGAAATGAAAGTAAAATTTAGTTGCTACCCAAGTCTTCCATGGTGTTAAGGGTTGAGATTTTTCTTTTAAATGCCACACTCCATTGGCATCACAAAATATAGATGCACAAATTTGAATAGTTTTTAGTCTTTGTACCTGCAAGATTTTCTTGAAAAAGTTCAAAAAAATTCACAAATTATTGTACCAATATTTGCAACTGAAGATTTTTCCAAGTAGAAGTAGTGCATAATTTTTGTTTCATAACAATGCAACAACATTTTTGGATCCTTTTAAAATTTCCCAGTAGGATAGCTTAAATAAGATTTGGTCGTAATGAGGCTAGCGAGTTTTGTAAAACAAAAACTCTGAGTGTGTTTTTTGGGTTATGGTTGTCAATTTATACTCAAATACTAGTGATTATTCCAGTTTAAGTTTGACATGAACAATTAACTATATATATGCCATGAATTTATCCCATGCAAAATTTAAACAATTTATCTTGTCTTTTTCAATTAAACTTCCCACATAAATAATCTCCAAAGTCAAAACCTCCTACAGTATAGTATGTTTGTTTATGGTCCTATGGAGTTTGGGCTTCAATTTTAAATGAGCAAAGTCAAAGGACAGAGAAGACACATTATAGATCAATCTAATCTTGATATGACTACGACTCACTTAAGCTTGAGCCTATTAATGTTTCCTCCTATATTTTGATAAGATAAGATACCATTTTGAATATACTTACTATATAGTTTCAACCAGTCACAGCAAATTAACCTGTTTAAACCATTATTCAGCTAAAAACATGACTTTTTAGTCTAAAAAGACTTCGATTGGAACAGAAGGAGGTACTGCCCCAGCTAACACCTCTGCCCCTTTCAGTATGCAAGTTAAAGATGATGCAACTCAATTCGATTTTAACCTTCAAAAAAAATTGAAGTCATTTTCATTGATCTTTTGTTTTTTTTTCTTTTCCCCCTCCACCCCCTCTCTTTCTGTTGATAGCCAATTCGGCAGTTCCTGCTTGCAGCGCTTCAAAGTACATGTCTGGTGAATGTGGAGGAAGGGCTAGAGTTGGTGTTCTCATTGGAGGTAATTTTCCTTCTTAAATGGCATGAAATTAACTTCTATTATTATTTCTCAACTTTTTTAATTATAGGATTCCTTTGCATAACACTATCAAGTTATAATGATCTTTGAATTCTTGAATAATTTATTCTCATTTTTGAGTTTCCAACTTTTAGTGTCACTTCTTCATAGGTTTAGTTATTCTGGTTGAGAGTCATATTTAAAATTTTGATGTGTGTGTACCTCATTGCAACCATGGCATAGCCTAGCCGCAAAAGGATTGGACCCTGGGATGAAGTGTAAATCCAGATATATTGGGTTTGACAATCGTTAATGTGTCTTTGGCTTAACCGATACTTATGGTTTGTGGGTGATTGCAGGTATCCGAGTTTTACTCTGCCAGGTGGGTCTAATGTGGCCTTGCCTTGGAGAGGTTCCTTGTCATTATAAAAGAAAAAAAATAGTGAACAAATTCTTTGCTTGGTTGGTTCCAGTGTTTTGAGTTTTTAGTGGAATATCTTTTATGAATTTCTTCTGTATGCTTTGTCATGAGATTGTTGCCAAACATGAAATTATTCTATATGCTTTGTCACGATATTGTTGCCAAAACATACAAAATTCATTCTTTAGCTAAATAATGAGTATTATGTCTAAGCAACCACAACTTTAGGTTTTTGTAAATTTGACAGCATTTTCCACTTTGTGTTTCCTTAGGGATTATTTCTGGAGCTCTTTTGATGTCTCTTATGGCTCTCATCTGCTTCTACATCCGACGACGTTCTAGTTCTTTAAGAACCCGAATGAGTGCAAACCGCCTTCTATGTGAAGTTGCCGGCAGCTCCAGTGTTCCTTTCTATCCTTACAAAGAAATCGAAAGAGCCACTAATAGCTTCTCTGAGAAACAAAGGTTGGGAACTGGGGCATATGGCACGGTTTATCAAGGAAAACTTCACAATGATGATTGGGTAGCCATTAAAAAAATTAGACACCGAGATAATGATGGTATTGAACAAGTCATGAACGAGATCAAGCTTCTGTCCTCTGTGAGCCATCCAAATCTTGTCCGCCTCTTAGGTTGCTGTATAGAGAATGGTGAACAAATCCTTGTCTATGAATTCATGCCCAACGGAACTCTTTCTCAACATCTACAAAGAGAAAGGGGTGCAGTGCTTCCATGGACAATACGCCTTACTATCGCCACTGAAACCGCTCATGCGATTGCCTTTCTCCACTCTGCCATGAATCCACCAATATACCATAGAGACATCAAGTCGAGCAATATACTCTTAGGTTACAACTTCAATTCCAAGGTAGCGGACTTTGGTCTTTCTAGACTTGGTATGACTGATGATTCCCACATTTCAACAGCCCCACAAGGAACACCGGGTTATGTTGACCCCCAATACCATCAAAACTTCCATCTTTCTGATAAAAGCGATGTTTACAGCTTTGGGGTCGTTCTTGTGGAGATCATAACTGCAATGAAAGCAGTTGATTTCTCTCGGCCTCACAGCGAGGTGAATTTGGCTGCTCTTGCAATTGACAGGATCGGGAAGGGTCTGATGGATGAGATAATAGATCCGTTCCTGGAACCACACAGAGATGCTTGGACATTTTCATCAGTTCACAAGGTGGCTGAGCTGGCATTTCGATGTCTTGCGTTCCATAGAGACATGAGACCGTCCATGCTCGAAGTGGCAGACGAGCTAGAACAGATACGGCTGAGCGGGTGGTCCCCAATGGAGGAGAACATATGCATGGCTTCGTCCGTGGCATCAACTTGTTCATCACCGTATAATGGGAGTGAGAAGTCATTTGGCGGTTTGTCGGTCAAGAAGGGTGGGGTTGGGAGTCGGAGATTGATTGTTCCGCAACGGTTAGCGGATTGTCTGGCCTCATTGGAGGAGGTGAAGGATAGCTCGCCGGTTTCTGTGCAGGACCCGTGGCTAAGCGAACAGAGCTCACCTTCGACAAACAGCTTGTTGGGTAATGTAGTTCAGTGAGCTAGAAGTGAAATTTGCTTCATCTCATTCTGTGAATATCATGGAGATATTTTACAGTTTTGTGTTTTTATTTGAATCCTTGCTTATAGATATCCTTTTGTTTGTTTGTATGCTTGATCTTTCAAGCCTTTCTTTTATTATTCTTTCTGATGTATTTGGAGGATGTAGAACTCTTCTTCACTAAACAAATGAATCATATATACCAAGAATGTGAACTTATGAAGTGGTATTGTGCCTTATTGGAGACTATATCAATTTCCTTTCATTATTCAAATGGTCACTGCAAATTAAAAAAATAATAAAAAAATAAATATTAATAAGGGTTTAGCAAAGAATAGGTATGTTTGTTTGGTTGTGTTTTTATTTGTTATTTTTTGAAAATATAAATAATGAAAAGTTCAAAAACATTTGTCATTAATTTTGTGCAATACAATTTTAATTCGAAAATAACTCTTTGGTGTTTCTTAAAAAGTTTTGTTTTTATGAACTCTTCTCAAACGAGTTTTGTGGAAATGAAAGCAAAAAAACAAAAACTTCTTTGTATGTGAACATTGTTCCACAGCTTTTTTGAGTTCAGATTACATTCAAAGTTGCCTGCTTGACCTTTCAAAAGCATTATAATCTTATACCAAGGAATTTTATCTTTTGAAATGGTGTGTATCTCTCTGCACATGCTTGTTGAATTGAGACTACCAACACGTGCTATTTCCAGTTACTTAAAATATTATAAAAATGGGTAACTAACTACAAATGAAATGAACAAAGAAAAGGGAAATTACTAAAGAAACCCTGAGGATAATGTTAACTTGGTGGGTGGACTTGGTCTAAGTTTGATTCATAGTTATTGCTCCCTATAAATTACTGGACTTGGTCAAGTTTGATTCTTAGTTATTGCTCCCTATTTATTGCGTAGCGTTGGGGTCAAGTTATAACGGAGTTTGTTATGAAAGTCTATAAATTTTTACGAAATCTTCACATATGTATCATTTAGGCCTCTCAGCTTTCAACGAGTGAGATTTCTTATAATTATATGAGAGGGTAGATTTGCACCAGACAGTACGGCCGAGCTACGGCAACGCAGGTGTGGCAAACCTCTCGGTGCTAAGCTATCCCGTCAATCGGCACGGCCCTCCGGCCTGTGTTACACGGCCGAGGTAAGTTTGCCGACCAGGCATGGTCTAAGGCCAGGCCGAGCTGTGACTGTTAGGCGTTCGGCGGTAGGCGCGCGTTAGCACGGCGCGACCGAGCAGATGACAGTCCGGAAAGAGTCTAGGCCGGGAAGAGGTTGGCGTGCGCCCGACCAGATAGCTCAGAAGCTCGGTCGTGTTCTTTGTGGTTGTGATTTTCTCCCAAGGAATAGGCCGGTCTTGGTATGCCGGTCGGATGTGCCACTTGAGCCAATGGCGTGAGGGAGAGGATATCTACTCCAGGCACGCGTCAGTACCGTTTGGCAGTTTTGCATGTACTGGATGGAGGATTTGGCCTTTACACGTGTAAGGTGATGGGAGGCGAGCACAACCAACTGTCCAGGAAAGGACAGCAGAGGTAGTGCGCGCACAATCCTGAGGCTGCATGGCCAGCCTAGAAAAAGGAAGGGAGGATGAGCGTTAGAGGTAAGCAACTTGCGCTATTTGAAACACCCTCTCTCTCTCTCTCGAATAGCCTCCTTATTCCTCAAGTGATCTGACTTGATCGTCGGAGGGTCTATCTGGCACACCACCGCCGGGCAGCTCACCGTTCTCTGTGTTGTCAGGTTAGACGCCGTCACGTGAAGCTTGAACTCCAAGGAGTACGGAAAGCAGAGGATATTTCGCCCCCGTACAATTGGCGCCGTCTGTAGGAAGCAGTTTGATACTCAAACCTTGTTTTTCAAGCTTCTTCGACCATCTCCATGGCCAACAACGACGAAACTCCACTGTCCGTCGTCGATGGCGTCACGCTAGAGTCTGTCCGACGAAGAGAAGGCCCCCCGAATGTTCCGGCCATGGCGGACCTAGAAACTTCTTCGCGAGGTGCACGAGACAAACGCGGAAGGAGCACTGATCGCTCGAAGATCCCGGAGGGCCGTCGGCAGTGGGGGAGTCCCGTGCGCAGCGCCTGGAGCACAAACTTAAAGACCAAGACGCCCTCATTCGCGAGATGGCGGCGGAGATGGAGATGCTGAGACGTCAGATTAAGGGGAAGGGTGTTGCTGGAGAGGGCAACCTCAATGAGCGCACCCCGTCCCCCTGTTCTAGCAGTCGCCGCCAGGAGAGGACCCACTCTCTCTCCATCACTAGGAACTATGGGGTTGGAGATTCCGACCGAAGGGAGGGCAAGTCCCTCACTCGAGACAGCACATACTGTCCCTCGCGCTCGTCTCCGACGTCGTGATACTCTTTCTCCATCCGTTCCAGAGACCTGAGGGATGTATTGGTGGAGAGGGCGCACCATCGAGAGGCTTAGAGAGTGCCTGTGTGGCAGAGATTGAGCGCCCCAGTTCACTGTAGCGAAGAAGTGGCGATGCCAGCACCCAGAGTGATGGCCCATGCGCCAGTGGACAAAGAGCTGACGAGACTTACAGCCACGCCATTGTCTCCGGAGATTGAGAGTACACCACTCCCTGCCGGATTCCACCAGCCTAAGTTCACCTTGTACGACGGCAAAACGAATCCGTACATGCACGTGAGTCATTACCGGCAAGTAATGGCTGGCCACCGGCGCAATGACGCCTTGATGTGCCTCATATTCCCAGCAAGCTTGGGAGAACTGGGCCTGAAGTGGTTCGAAAGACTTCCAGAAGGGAGTATAGAGGGGTGGCAGCAACTAGCGGAAGCCTTCGTCACCAGATTCAAAACCAACACTCGAACGCCGAAGGAGGTCGATCATCTTCTGGGCGTCAAGATGGAGTCAGGGGGATCATTGAAGGCATACAACGCGAAGTACTGGGAAACTT